ATTCATTATAACAAGATTGCTCTTTTGCTTAGGGGCCATCACGGCGCATTCTGTAAATGAATTAACAGTAGCATGCATTTGTGTATTATGGGCCCAGAAGATGCATTTGTTTATTAAATAAATCTGCAACACAGAAAGTATAGTTGAAAAAAACTAGAAAATAGAGTGCGCATGTACAGTAGCTATTTTTTTTTTAAACCTCAACGTCTTGGCGAGTTTTCCTCCTTTGTTTCTTTTAAATTACCAGACATCACAGGCCACGCTATAGACTACCAGCCTGCAAAAATTGATGTTAAAAAAAAAAAAGAAACCAAATTTAAGTTACAGGAGCACAAAACATTTCCAGAAGTGGTTCTGTAAATAATCACATACCTTTAAAATGATTTAATATTCTAATTCTTTTGTTTCTCTTTAAATTCTTTTGTTTTTCTTAAAATCATTTATTATTATTATTACTAATATTATTATTTTCCCTAATTTTTATTTTTGGCTGAAATTTAGCATGCACCACATATATAATTTTCCCAGTTGAATTCTGTTCTCTGCTGAAATACAAACTCTGCTTTTGGGGGCATTCATCTACTATTGATCCATTTATTTCCAACCTTTTGGCCCAGGTATAGCTACTACAAGTATATTAATATACATGAGTCAGGCTGCTGGATTTTATTCCTGTTAACTAATGATTTTTTAAAGCCCAGTGGCAGTCCACAATTGCACTGAGAACTCAGAGTATGGTTTTAGATGTTGCTGTTTGGTATTTCTTTCCATTTCTATTTTGTATCTTGCTGTCCTTAATACATAATCTGATATGTTGTGCACTGCAAGTAGACAGAAAGAAAATGGAAATATTTTAAAATCCGAAATGCTGAAAGAGTCTAAAACCACAGCAGGGAGAGTTGGAAATCTGTTAAAAAGAACTGAGGAAAAAAAGGAAAGAAGAAAGTCATATTCCCAAATTTTTGAAATACTTATGTTATTTAAAGGACAACTGTGTTTTCAAAGGGTAAACTAATTTCGTATTTGATTTCTTGAAAAAGTTTCTATAAAATCCAGGGATAGTAAGTAAGTGAAATTTGACAAAATACTTTAAAAGGCAAAGTGTGGTAGAATGAGTGGATTAGGATTTCACAGATTTTTAGTTTAGCAAAAGATCTATGACACTATTAAAAAATACCCAGCTAATTAGTACATCTGCAATATAAAAAATGTGTTTTGTAGGAAACATGGCAGGACTTATAAAAGATCTTCCGTGTGTGGCAAAAATACGTAGCTGGTTGAAGCAGGATTCCACTTTTCTTTCACATGGAATCTTCAATGCTTAGCATTTTGTCCTTAAAGAATAATATTCAGCTGTGCTCTTTACTGGGGAAAAACCCCCCAACAAACCAACAACCTACCATTGTAACAATTGACTTGAGAATTACGTAAGGGAGAAGAAAAATATTCGCAACTCGATTTCTTTTCTTTCATCCTTTTTCTTGGGGAGGGGAGGGTAAAAAGCTCTATTTTCCAGAGCATTTTATTTAGTCCACTGCAGCTTTTAGAGAGGCCAGCCAATCAGAAAGTCTGTAAGGGCCCAGGCCCAGACTCAGTGCTGAGCTCCAAATGTGATTCCAGTCCTGACAGGGGGATTATAGGAAACAGATGACTTACGCTTCTAATTTGTGGCCTTAAATTGCAAACAGAATTTCAGGAGTCGAGCAGAGTAATAAATGGCAATAGAAAAAGCCACACACAGCCAAATCAGTATGTGGTGGTTGTAGGTTAAACTAAATGGGAAGAGACAGGTTATGATGGTTCAGTGTATTACAGAGAAGAAAGTCTTAAATTACCAGTGCTGAGAGGTATTGCTGTACAGCCGACAGCGCTGCGTTGTGCAGTCTACAGATATCCCAAGCAGAACAATAAAAAAGCAGGTTCAACGTAGAACCTGTTGCTGGAGGAATCATTTTCCCCCCCTCTTTTAGAAATGGAAGCGGTGTTTTATGTTTGTTTTGACCTCTGCTGTATACTTGGCCCCCTAACATCTGTTTTCGACCGTTGCCGTTTTTCACACCAAATTAAATGTCGAGGAGTCAGATAAAATAAGTCCAAAATATGTCCAAATTATTTTTGTTGACTTCCAACAAATGTCTTAGTAACTCTTTTCACATGGAACGATACCATTTAAATGCCAACGTAGGAAATTATTTTCCTTTCAACATTTTAGGAGCTGAAGAAAGGAATTTGGAGGTGTGCTTAAACTTGGGAAATATTGCATTGGCCTTTTTGGTAACTTGCATGACTGTTTCAGGCTTGCTTTGAGGCTATTCTGCCATAGGAAGTTATGTGCGTTTGTTGGATGGAAATTCCAGAGAAATTGTTTAACAACGGCATAGAAAAAAGCCATTATTCAGAACTGCTTCAAACCGTAAATACCAGTTAGAATCAAAAGCGATCTACTGTTTATCATATGGAAACCAACATGTATTTGTTTTCCTTCGTAACCTCTACGTGTATGTTTCTGTGTGCATGTGTGTAAGAGAAAGAGTCAAGGCTATAATGACAACTTTTCATCGTCCTAAGAAGTTTGACGATGTTACACCACAGTTAAGTCTGTGGTGTAAGAATTTAACAACTGGCATCACATTTTCGGCATCTCATCTAATAAATATTTTAATAGAGGTAAACTGTGTTGGGAAAGAATGCCATCTTCTTTTAAGATCCAACGTGTCTGTATATCAGAGATTGGCAACTAATTCATGATAAAGATGGATTCAAAAATAATTACCCCATCTTATATTATTTACTGTCAATATATCAAAAGAACACGTTCCCAAGTTAACGATGGAAATAGGGTTCATGTCAGTCCACGAGACTGTGCTCAAAGTGGAGCCATGTAATATCTACAGTTTCTCTTCCCCTGTTCTATAACAAATTATCACACTAAAGTTTGCATTTTTTAACAGTTACATTGCCTTTAAACTTGAGCTTTTTGTTTTATATGTTGAAGACAAGTTGTTATCTGATGGAGAGGTAACCTGGGGAACATGAACTATTTTCATTGTGCTCTTAAGCAAGTCTGTTGATAATTATTGAAGATGACCGGCTAAATAGATTTTGATTAATCACTTGCAAAAATGATGCTTGTTAGAACCACTTTATATTCCGTGTCATGGGGATGATATCAATGTAGGTTTTAGCTATTTCTTTGTAGATGGTGTTTTTTTTTTTAAATCACCTGGCAAAAAGAGAAAACAAACCTTAGTTGAAAGCTTTTGTCTCCAACAGAAAACTCTTTTCATGCCTGCCTTTTTTTTTTTTTTTAAGAAGTGCTCAATTATTATTTGTGTCATAGTGGGAACACTGGGTCTCTATAGGGCCTGAACCTTTTCAAACAGGAGATAGCTTTTGTTTTTGTACCCCATCAACACGGATTCACCTAATTAAATCCAGTATCTCTGGCTGAAGCAAAATGATTTGTAATAGTTCTTTGGAGTTTACTTAATTAGTTTCGATGTCTTCCGTGTGGTAAATGTGGTGATATTTTATAAAATGGAACTGAAAAAAGAGGAGGCAAAATGCACTCTTACAAGGGATGAGGGAAAGGGAGGTGAGAGGGAGGGCAGACCAGTACGACCAAACCATGAAAGCAAGGTGTAGCTCCAACGCGTGGGCTTGTAGACCCGAGTCATTCATTAGTTGAGATCATCAAAGCAGATCTGACCTGGAAAAAGGCTTCCTGTCAAACGTAGGCCTGGGCATCTGTCAGGGCCTCAGATTCGACACCTTGATCAGCCCAAGACACTGACACCATTTTCTTTAACAAACACCAACAGCTTTTTTCTCCTTCATTTTAACATCTCTCAGGGGTTGGATTCCCTTTCTTCTCCCGCTCTGTGGAGAGTAAAGGGAGCTTGTTAACTTGCTTAGATATTTTGACTGTGGATGCTCTTTGGCCACTTGCCTGTGGTAACAGTGTCAAAGCATAACTTGGTATAATTGCGAGATTTGCAGTCAGAAGAGTGTTCTGTCTTTATGTTCAAGCTGCTGAATAAAAAGAAGTGTCACTTTGGAAAATCGTGCAAATTATCCTCAAAGTTCAGGCAAAATACATAATACAAAATACATACCTGGTATGTCTTGTGTTCATTGCCAGGACACGGAAGAGTAAAAGAATGGGGTTTTAATTATGTGAATTAAAAGCTATAAATTCCCATGTTTGTTATGCTGAGACTGGCTGGCGCACAATAACATAAAATTAAACTTAAAAGGAAAGCAGTAGAACGGGCTCTTTACAATTTAAAAAGTAACTGAAAAACATTAAAAATTTTAATTATCCATTGTGTCACAATTTATATACAGTATGGATTAGAAATGACAACTTTTGATGGACCTTCATTTAATAGAGACGTGCATAATTTACAGACATTAGCAATACCCATTCTGCAAGTGGAAATTAGGATTGCAGTGGAAGGTTTATCTTATTGATGGGTAATAAGAGATGGCAATCTAAAACCAGATTTATTAGGAAATGCACTTTTAAAGTGACAGAGTTGTGTTCACTCTGTATTTTCTATGTTTCCAGAGTCGTTTTAGTAGGGAAACTGCAAAATGGGGATTTGTGGGGTTTTCCCCCTTTAGTATATAACAATGTGAAATTTGAAGCGACAGGGACTATAGATGTCCCTCTGCCCTTTTCCATGCAAGATGCGGGTGTGCACATCTTCGAGGATAATCCTTACAGAATGAGCGCCAGCTGATCAGTACGTAACACTGGTAGGCACCGGCGCTGGGGCTGCCAATGCTGGCGTTTAGTACGAGAAAAACGATCCTTCTGGTTAAGTAGACCTTTCCTGTGTCTCACAAACTGTACAAAACCTCGTGCTGCTGGCAGGTAATGGCTAGTAATTAGTGTGGCAGGCAGGTAATGACTTGAAATCACCTGCTAATTGTTTCTCAGTGTTTGCTCACTTTCAAAACTCTGGATGAGCGGGGAAAGTCGTGGGGGGCTTTACTGATGGGAATGGAGAAAAGGGGAAGGACACAACCAGGAATCTCTTTCTGAACAGGGTATCTCCCCTTTTGTTGCTTATTTTACCTGCAGGGCCTCTCTGAGGGACTCCGGAGAGGCACTGAGAATTGGCAGGTTACTTTACCAGCCTGCTGCTCCTACTGGGAAAGATGGTGCCTGTGGAGAAATCCTTTGCTGCTCTGGAATCCAACCAACCTTCTTAGTTTCAGCCTCTGACTAGAAAATTGGGAGGGAGAGAGTAATGGCAGCTTGTTTGTAAAGAAAAATGAATTACACAAAGCCAGATTTTACTTCCCTGACATAACCTACTTCTTTCTCTTTCGTGAGATTTCCCCAACATCATGGAGAGCCCTTGGTGCTGATGCAAGAGCGACCGGGCAAAGAGCCTATGCCAAGTTGAGGCTGGATCACTTGTCTAAGGATCCTATAAATGCTTCAGACAAGCGCTCACACACAGAAATCCATACAGGGCACAAGTGAGTAACATAACTGAACATTTTGAGAAGGGGATGGAGGGAGGGGGTCATGGTGAGCCGGAGAATGTTGCTTCTCTAAACTTGAATGAGGGGAGCTTGGGTGGCTCAGTCGGTTAAACATCCGACTCTTGATTTTGACTCAGGTCATGGTCTCCCAGTTCTTAGGATTCAGTCCCACATTGGGCTCTGTGCTGACAGTGAGGAGCCTGCTTGGGATTCTCTCTCTCTCTCTCTCTCTCTGATCCCTCTCTGCTCATGCACATGCATGGGTTCTCTCTTTTTCTATAAATAAATAAATAAATAAATAAATAAATAAACCTTAAAGAATAAAAAAAATAAACTTGAATGAAATGCATTCTGCTCCAGCCAATTGCTGGGATATGGATATGGGGAAGAGAGGTCTCCCAAATACTTTAAAAAAAGTTTCTGAGTATAGTTGATGTACAATATTATATTAAGTTTGGTTGTACACATAGTGATTCTCTATAAGTTATGCTATGCTCACCATAAGTGTAGCTGCTATCTGTCACCATACACTATTACAATATTATTGACTATATTCCCTATGCTGTGCCTTTTATCTTTATGACTTACTCATCCCATAACTGCAAGCCTGTGTCTCCCACTCCCCTTCACCCATTTTGTCCATTTCCCCTCCCCTCTGGCAACCATCAGTCTATTCTCTGTATTTACAGGTCTGATTCTGTTTTTTATTTGTTTGGCTATTCATACGTTATGTTTTGTTTTTATATTCCACATGTGAGTGAATTCAAATGGTATTTATACTTCTCAGTCTGACTTATTTCATTTAGTGTAATACTTCTGGTTTTATCTATGTTGTTGCAAATGGCAGATCTCATCCTTTTTTATGGCGGTATAATAGTTCACTGTGTACATGGGTGTGTGTGTGTGTGTGTATGTACATACCACATCTTATTTATCCATTCGTCTACCAATGGACACTTAGGTTGCTTCTGTAATTTGGTTATTGTAAATAATGCTGCAGTGAACATAGGGCTGTATATAGCTTTTTGAATTAGTGTTTTCATTTTCTTTGGGTAAATAGTGGTAGAATTATTGGATCATATAGTATTTCTATTTTTAATTTTTTGAGGAACCTCCACACTGTTTTCCACAGTGGTTGTACCAATTTGTATTCCCACCAACGGTATACAAGTGTTCATCTTTTTCCACATCCTTGCCAACTTGCAATTTCTTGTCTTCTTGATTTTAGCCACTCAGATACGTATGAGGTGATATCTCATGGTGGTTTTGATTTGCATTTCCTTGATGATGAGGGATGGTGAGCATGTTTTCGTGTGTGTGTTGGCCATCTGGATGTCTTCTTTGGGAAAGTGTCTAGTCATGTCCTGTGCTCATTTTTTAATTGTGTTGTCTGTTTTTTGGTGCTGAGTTGTAGAAGCTCTTTATATATTTTGGTTATTAACCCCTTTTGGATATATCCTTTTCAAATATCTTCTCCCATTCAGTAGACTGCCTTTTTGTTTTGTTGACTGTTTCCTTCACTGTGCAAAACCTTTTTATTTTGGTGTAGTCCCAATAATTTGGTTTTGCTTTTGTTTGCCCTGCCTCAGGAGACGTGTCTAGAAATATGTATATGATGCTAGGGCCAGTGTCAGAGAAATTACTGTCTCTGTTCTCTTCTAGGATTTTTATGGTTTCAGGTCTCACATTTAGATCTTTAATTCATTTTCAGTTTATTTTTGTGTATGGTGTTAGAAAGTGGTCCTGTTGCATTCTTTTGCATGTAGCTGTCCAGTTTTCCCAGCACAGCCCATTAAAGAGACTGTCTTTTTCCCATTGTATATTTTTGCCTCCAGATTTCCTAAATTCTTAAGAGGAGCCAGAAATCTGGAATTTTATGGGAAAATATCCTGTTTTAAAGCTTTGAAGCTAATTAGAAAAAATAAAATCTTTGTGTAGGGGAAGCAAAACCACTGGCTTGATTTTAGGTCACAGGCTGCTAGTTGCTGACGTCTGTTTTAAATTATATATATTTTTACTTGGTACCTTTTCTTTTAGTATCTTGTTAGATGGCAAAGAGGAAGAAAGCAAAGGTGGGCTTACATATTCAACAAGTGTTATTTGGTTGTTAGAATTTTCTTGTGTTTCTTATGCCCAAACAGTTAAAGAATGACATCTTAGGAAATCGTCCCACATGATGCCTGCCTGGTTTTGAGCTTTTCCCTAAATGCTGAAGGCCCCCTTGGGCCAACTCTCTCGGGCTCTTTCAAACATATTTTAGTGGAAAACTTCTGTGAGCACGGACTCACTGGTTCTAATAAGTCATTGTTAAGGAGAATTGACTGACTGTCCCTCATGCCGGCAGTCCAGTAGGCTCCGAAGAACATAGCCGAGGAGCTGGAAAGGCCTAGATTTCATTCAATTTGGGCTCTGCCTACTTACTAATATAACTTGGGCAAGCTCCATCCAACTCAGCCTCCATTTTGTCACTGGTAAATTAAGAGTAATGTACTTACCTTGTGGAACTGTGGTCAGGGTTAGAGAAAAATGCTTAAATTATCCCTTTTATGAATCTTTCATATAGCACACATGAATAGATTGTGGTCATGAGACTTAATAGCCAGATACATACTTTACACTGGTTAAAATCCAAATCATAAATATGCTTTATATTGATTTGAAACCTTCTATGCTTTTCCAGAATACTTAAAGAAAATTAACAAACTTCCTGGTAAAGTTTATTTCCAGATTAAACAGTTTCAAATGAACACTAATGTAATTATGTGATGAGTTTGAAAAAAGATCAAAAGCTAGAGTCAAGTAAATTCAGGTTTTTTTGTTTTTTTTTTAAAAACCAGGTGGTCATTTTTATGTATACAAGTAATAAATCATCTAGCAGATCGAGGTTAATAGAGATTAGTCATACATAGGATTTACTAGGTTAGTATTGGAATGGCAAAAAGTGGAGCTGGTCACCGTGCTGAGGACTAGAAGAGAAAGAACTTGCATAGGTGTCTTTTAGTAAAGAGCCAGATTTTGGAGGTGGCCTCAACATAGTCTGAAAAATCATTAGGTCTACCTTGGATTTTCTTTCTACGCAGTTACTGTCACTTCAGAAGAGTGGTTTCTAACTGCATCACATTACATCAAATTGAAAAATTACCCTTTTATTTGTTCTTATTTGTTAGGTGGGTCTCCCCCCTACCCCCCCCACCTCCAGGGGCAGGGGATAATATAAGTACTAAAAATTTTATTCTCAAACTGAAAGAGAAAATTGAATTTATACGGAGATAAAGGTGCAGTTGGCTTAATTTGCCCCTTTTCCAAACGCTTTTTATATATAGTTGCCTAAGCAGTTTGTGACACTTATATCCTCTTTCTACCAGCCATCAGTTTTATACATAGTTTCTCTAAAAATAAAGATATTAAAATCAGTCTCTTATTCAGCCACTAGCTTCCAGTGTTCAGAGTTTGATTGTTCAGTTATATAGTAATTAAGAAGAATGTCTAGCTCTGAAGCTTTTTGAAGTTTTTTTTTTCCCTCCCTCAGGATAAAATAAAATAAAATAAAATAAAATAAAATAAAATAGGTACCTAAATTGTTTGAAGACCCAGTTTAATTTAGAAAAGGCAAAACCAAAATGTAAGTATAGAGAACTATGAATCTTATGTGAATGTATAAGTTGAGCTACATGACCTATTTAAAGACAAGAGAAGTTGTGTTTTTTATTATATCATTGTTACTTTTCTTGAAACATCTGACTATAACAAAAGGAACTTAGTAATATACCATGATTTTTACATAGCCCGATGGCTACAGATCCTGAGGTGTCACTCACCTCCTTCATCTATTTGCTCTTATATGTGTTCACCTCAATATTCAATAGAATATTAAGTGATAGATTTCATTCTCTATAAAGTAGTACTCTAATAGAAAACAATAGACTTTAAACAGAGAAATCCAAACATACATTATGAAGAGTTACGTATAAAAAGTGCAACACTTAGTTTATCAGTATGAAAATGAAAAGATAGCTCATTATAACTATGTACAATCATCATCACTATGTTACATTGGGAAAAAAAATCCTCTTAAGGTCAGATTGGTTGTGTTGCTAAATAATCAGAATTTTCTGTTGTAATTTGCGAAACCTTAAAAATGAGAAGAATTGATATCATGCTTTCAAATAAAAACTTAAATCATTTCAAGCCAGATTTTTATGAGTCATTGCCAGAGTTTGTGCGTTTTCTCTAATTAAATTATTTTCTTTTAAAAAGCCAGCCTTGGTGGGGGTGGGGTGGAAGTCAGCAGGCGGAGGGAGAGAAGGGAGCTCAGAAGATATACACATAAATTGTCTTAATTTCTGAGAAATGGGGGTCTGACAATCACTTAAGACAATATAGTTGATATGGCTGTCAGGACGGACTCTTTTCAAAAGAATGTTTTCATAGAATATTATCGTGACACTTTGCTCAGATGGATGTCTTTAGCAGTATTTGATTAATGTAACGTAATAAAAGAGATGCACACCAAAGTGTCTGTACGTGTCTTGTTAAGTATGTTTGATTCATTATATGTGGTTCTCAGTTCTTTCCTCTTTCCGCAGTTCATTTTTTATCATTTCAATAATATATCTATAAATATGAAAAAGTTGGCACTTTCAAAGTCTTTGACATATATGGCTATTAATTCATAACTCTAAAAAATTGTATCTTTCAACTTGTCATTTTAAAGCTCATAGAGTTTATTACAGTAAGTAACCTGTGTTAGAAATTAGATTTTGAACTTTAGCAAGAAGATAAATAAGCTCATGAACCTAAAAGTTAAAGATACCTAGACATAGATCTAAGATAGAATTACATGAAAAGATCAATTACTAAAGATTATAATTTTAAACTCCCTGAAGATATCATTGAGGTTTCTTTGGTTACTAGTTTCCAACTAATTTTGTTTTTCAACTCCAGATATCAAATATGGAGCAAGTTTGTAATTAACAAAGCTATCCAAATTCACTTTTATGATCATCTTAGTTGTAATGGGTTAATGGGTTAAATGTCATGGTTTACGTATTAATGACATAGATGGTTTTAAGACAAGGTATTCTGAAGGCAAAATAATGGTATATATATATATATATATATACACACACACACACACACACATATATATACACATATATACATATGTGTATACATATATATACATATGTGTATACATATATACATATATGTGTATACACATATATATACATATATGTATATATATTTATATTTTCTTTGTGTTACTATTTTAATAAGAATAAGCCATATAAGGTAGATGCTATTTTACTGACAGAGAAGCTGCGACAGAGGTAACATGGCGAAGATCACACATATGCCAAGGGGCAAAGCAGAGCTGGGCTTGGAAATCAGAAGTCTGGCTCCAGAGCCTTTGACCACCTCTAGGTGAAGCTACATGTGGAATATCTTCTTCTCGGTGCCTTTGGTCCTGCTTCATACCCTGTGCTACGTAAGTAACAGCTTGTCCCTCTCACTTGCCATGTTTCTTTCCATGATTCAGTGAAGAAGATAATCAGGGATCAAGATGGCAGAGGAGGAATATCCTAAGCTGACCTCCCACGGACACACCAAAACTACAACTACCTATAGAACAGCTATCACTGAGAATGACCTGAAGACTAGCAGAACAGGTCTTCCACAACTAAAGACATAAAGAAAGAGCCACATCATGACAGGTAGGAGGGGCAGAGATGTGGATTGGTCGGGATGCACACCCCTGGCATGGCGACCCACAAGGAGGAGGGTTATTACCAATGTGGAGGTCCGCCCTGATGACTGAGGGGTTCACACACCACATTGGGTACCCTAGCCATGGGGCTCCCACTAGGAAGATGAGTCCCCATAATACCCGGCTTTGAAAAACAGAGGCAAAGTCCAGGAGCGCTGGAAGGCTATAGGAAACCAAAACTCTACTCTTAAAGGGTGTGAACACAAACTCCCTCACTCTGAGCATCACTGCAGAGGCAGCAGTTGGAAAAGCACTTGGGCCATATGTGAAAGAGACTCACTGACAAATTTTAGGGCAGGTACCAGAGGCGCAGGATCTGTAGGAGTTTTCTTTGGGAACAGAAGTACTGGTGGGCACCACTGGTTTTACTCTCCTACCTAGCTGGTCCGGTGTTGGTGGGTAACATTTATGACTTCCCCATCTACATTGCCATCACTGCTCTCTCCACCCCCATATTCCCCTGTGGAACTGCTGGGGCAGGCACCCCCCCCACCCCCAACCAGGAGCTTCAGCCCCTGCCATTTATATGTGGCATCTAAAAAATAAAACTAACAGAACAAAACAGAAACAGTCTCATGGATACAAATTGGTGGTTGCCAGAGGGGAGGTGGATGGGGAGAGGGATAAAATAGGTGAAGGAGATTAAGAGGTACAAACTTCCAGTTATAAAATAAGTCAGGGGCACCTGGGTGGCCCAGTCGTTGAGTGTCCGACTTCGGCTCAGGTCATGATCTCACGGTTCGTGGGTTCAAGCCCTGCCTCGGGCTCTGTGCTGATAGCTCGGAGCCTGGAGCCTGCTTCAGATTCTGTGTCTCCCTCTCTTTCTGCTCCTCCCCTGCTTGCACTCTGTCTCTCTCTCTTTCTCAAAATAAATAAACATTAAAAAATTTTTTTTAAAAAGAATAAAAAAGAAGATGAAATAACATCTTGAAGCTTGAAAGAGAGTTTATTTAAATGATGCAGCTAGAACAAAAGAAAAACCTCTAGCACATGCCCAATGGTTCCTCTCAGTTTTTATCCAGAAATACTGCGTGATTATTGATTAAAGTGAATCCTTTAATAATAGAATGCCCAAGTGATGGGTTTACTCTGGTTATAACGTGGAATGTTGTGAAGAACTGAAAATGAACAAGAAACCCATATTGTTCTTTATTTCCTCATTTTCTGTTAAAAATACATGTGAAAATATGCATGCATCCATTTCCCTCAAAAAGTGAGGGTCTAGCAAAATGAATGAATTATTTGATCAGTGAATTCCATCGTAGCTGAGAGGGAGAGAGAGAGAGAGAGAGAGAGAGAGAGAGAGAGAGAGAAAGAAAATAATGGCCGACCATGAGGATAGCAAGTCTGAAGTGTTCCACATAATGAGGTCTGACTCACAGATGATCTGCGGGTTTCGAGTGCCAGGCTAGCACATCATGTGTGAATAAGCCTGTGGCAGGGGCTGAGGGTGAGGCCTGAGGACATGGTTTATGTTGGAGCCTCACGGTGCTCTGGGTGACTCATGTACACTAAACAGCAGAGTCATGAACCATTTATACACACCCAATATCAGGTTCACTTCGAGGCTGTTCTCCTGCAGCCATTTTACAGCTCTCTCTAAAAAGCACAGAACTTATTTCGGCCTTTTCCAGGAGAATCACGAAGAGGAATTAACAGAGGGCCTTAATGTCTTGATGGTCCTTTCCTGGGGAGATTATTCTTCCTCTGAGCCCCGAAAGACTCTCCCATGGTACTTTTTCTCTCTATTGTGCTGTGAAAGGAGTGGGTTTGGGGTCAGCTAGAGGCCTAGCTCTCGGCAATGTCCTCACCACCTCTGAGACCTTGGGCAATTCGCTTGTTATTCTTGGGTATGGTTTTCTTGGAAAACTATAAACCTTACAGAATGGGATGGCAGAATTTTATGCATTTATGGGAAATTAACAGAGAAGAAATGTTAACATTCTTTTCAGTGGTCAGTTATCCAATTGCTTCAGCTCAGGAACGACCGATGCCAGAGCACTAATTAAGGATGTTAATGTTCAATTTTGTATCTGTTTAGTGTCAAGAGAGAGGAAGAGAGGGTTTTAAATGTGCACTAGTAATTTTTTTATAGGTATGTACAAGGCTTTTTGAAACTATCAATAAAGTCAAGGGACCTATGCAAGGACTAAGAGAAAGTCAAAAGAAAAGAAGCATTCCACATTGTAGGCTGAAGGGGTAGATGGCTTCTTCTGGGTGAGAAAGCATGATCTATCGTGCACCGTTCATGGAACAACCTGTCTGTGGCTGGGCAGCGCTTTCAGGCCTCTGAGTCCTGCCCAAGCCAGGACCTGCCTCTGCTCATTGTCAGTGCTATCACTCGATGCCGGGGAGCAGAGGGGCCCCAAGGGAGTCAACGATGTTGTTTAGGGTTGTCCATTTTGGGGACACATTGGCTAGAACGAATCATACGTTCATAGTCTTGAGGGGTCCTCCGTTTTTAGAGAATTAGAAAGAAACACCGTGTTTGTCGTTTTGAAGTGCCCAGGTCTGGCACTTCTATTCAGCATGTACTTTGGGCAAGTCCCCTCACCTGTTGGGGACTAACTTACTGCCTCTGAGAACTGAGGGAGCTGGACCCAAAGGTCTCTAAGGGCTAAAGTTTTCATGCCACTGACTCTGGACTTCTCTATGTAAACACTAAGTAAACTTACAGTAACTATGGAGAAGGGCTATATCCTTGCTGATAATTGTAAATGTCCATGATGTCAAAATGCAGGATGGTAAAAAGTGAAGTTGAAAAATGAGGAAGAGGTGTGACAGGGTGCAGTCTAAATAGTTTTGAAGGGTGTGCACTTTTTAGGCTGCCTAGGATCAGGGCATGTCTTCTAGCGAATTTCAGAGTTGACCAAACTACATTTTGGTTCGGACCTACCTTATCCAGCAAGAGAGAGGATGGTAATTAAAGCAACAATAGCCCCATGGCTCACATGACCCCTTTTTCTGATTGAGGGAGGAGGCAGAGGGGAACACGGGAAAGAGAAAACACTTATATTAAGCAATTATGTCAAATTCATTACTGAAACATATATTTCAAACCTACACAAAAATGTGGTAAAGAGTATAATGAATCCTCATGTTCCTGTGAACATTCAACAATCAATTCATAGACAATCTTGTTTCATCTATATCTTTTCACTTAATCTTGTTTTACTAAGATTATTTTGGGGCAGATCTCTCACATAATTTTATCTGTAAATGTTTTCCAATATATCTCTAAACGTTAAGAACTCTTTTCATTTAACAGGCAATTGCAATGTCATTAACACACCTAAAAATTTACCCCAAATTCCTTACTATTATTCAGTATCAAGTCAGAGTTCAGATTTCTCCAATTTTCTCATACACATAGATATTTAACAATTTGTTTGAATCTGGACCCTAATAAGTTCATAAATAGCTATTGGTGAGTATGTCTCTTCAGTCTCTTTTAATCTATAGGTGTCCTATCTTTCTTTCTTTCCCCCCACCCCCTAATCTCTATTTGATGAAGAAACTGGGTTGTTTGTTGATCAGAAAATCATGAATTTTCTGATTTTGATGATTAACTTTCTATATTACCTCTTCATATGTTCTTCAGTCCCCTCAGTTTCCTATAAATTGATACTTAAACACATGATTAGATTTCTTTTCTTTTCTTTTTTTTTTTTTTTGACAACTCTTCATAGATGTGTACTGTATTTTTATCAGGAAGCAAATAATGTCTCATTGCCTCCTTTTTCTTGTTCTATTAGTAGCCATTATTGATTACTGTTTAATTTCTTCATTATAGGTTGTCCTATATTAATTTTATGAATATAATCAATTCCTTTTCATCCTAGTAGCTGAAACATTTTTATTAAGAGAAACTTCCCCTACTTGAATACTTGAAGAATTATATATTCATTATAATTTGTACATAAAACTCAGGATAAATACTGGATTTAACCCTCTCTTTACCAGTTTCAGCTTATTTTCTAGCATTCTTCAAAAGTGACCAATGAGAGCTGTGTGTGTGTTTAAACTGTTTATTTTGATCTCGTGGATTTAAAAAATATTTGGACCTCGAGCTTGTAAGTCAGACGGATGTAGGTTTGCATCCCAACTCTGCCCTGTTACACCAGGAAGAATTTTCCCTCCTTTCTTCCCATGATTAAATCCTGGTGACCTTTAGCTCTCCTCCGCAATAAGACTTTCTCTTAACTCTCCTGACCAGGTTAACACCTCTCAAATGCACAATTTCACATTCATTTGTGTGGATGTTGATTTAATGCCTGATTTCTTTGCTAGACTGTAAGTTCCCTATGGGCACGGACCATGTTTTGCGTTAACTAACCATCAGATCCCCATTATGAGGGTGTCTGTAAATATTTGTTCATTGAATGTTGAAAAACTTGGCGAAATTAATCTCTCTGAGCTTTAGTTTTCTCATCTGTCAAATAGGGGTGATAATACTGATGTCACAATATGAAGATTGTGACGATGTGACAATATGAAGATATGAAGATGTGAAGATTAAGTGAGACAATGCGTGCAAGATACCTGGTCTATCGTAAGCATTCTCAAGTGGTAGCCGGTTTCATATCTGATGACCTTGGACACTACGCTCCTGTCATGAATTACTTGGCTGACACCTCTGATTGTATTGCTTGGGAAACAATTATCAAAAAGTAATTTCTGCTTCTGTTTATGAAATGCTAAGTCAGATGCAAATCAACAGAGTTCTAAAGTGTTCTGAAAGGGAGAAGAGAGAGAAATAGCATTCAAGTCTCCTGCCTCCAAAATTGGGGGGGGGGGGGGAAGAAGGAATAATTGGGAATGATATCAAAATAGTTATAAAGAATTATATGAACCGATGAAATCTGAGGGGATGGATGGAGCAGCTTAAGTTAGGGGAAGGAGAAGAAGCACAGTCTCTGGAAGAGGTTTTGTGAGTGGAAGAGAAATTCTGAAGTTAGGACTGGTCTCAGTGCCAAAAAAGGAAGTTGTCGCTTTAGGAGGGCTGACTAAATGTCCTCCGAGACTCCCTTGACTAAAAATATCTCTTCCATTGGCTTGGGGTCATTCAAATCAGAGTCTATCCTTATGCAAATGTTAGGACTTTAGATATTTTCCTACTTACACCACACTGTGTCCCCACCTCCGAAATTTTGCTCAGGCTGGTCCTTCCTCTGGAGTGGTCTTCTCACTTTTCTCTACTCACCATTTTTGTATCGTGTCAGGAGTCACTTCTTCTGGGCGTCTTTTTCAGGCTCTTGCTCCAATCCACCAGGTGCGTTAAGGACTTTCATTTTAGCAAATTCAATAAGCTAACAGTGTGGAGGCCAGAGACCAATTAGAAGAACGCAGGCAATAGGGAGGTCATAGTCCAGGTAGATGATGAGGCCCTGAACTCGGGCAGGGGGCTTTGGAAAGAAGAGGACAGATGAGGAAGCAGATTCAGGAGGTAGAACTCATAGTGGCTGACTACAGTGTTTTGTCTGAGGCGGCTCCTAACATTCAGCACACAAGTAACTAAAAATGTTGGCCCCTTAGCGCAGTCCAGACCTTATGATTCTTGTATTATTTATTTGGCGTTTAGACTTAAGACTAAAAGGCTCCCATTCCTTTTCACAAAGCTGAGTGACCCTGATTTTCCCCCTGTTTTCTCAGGACATCCCGTACATGTCCCTGTCACTGCATTTACATTTACCGCGGTGTTTATATCTGCTGACTTCACTAAACTGTGAGCACCCGGAAGGTGAGAACTCTCTTATTCATCTTTGTAACCTCGGCAGAGTGCTCAACACATACTTAGTGTTTAAGAAATAACAAATGGGTGATTGAGGTCTTATCTAACCATTGTACATTTACATTTAGATAAGATATTCAGTTACCTGGAAGGATAAATCAGTAACTGTTAACACATGAACCTAAGTTAGTTTATCTGATTGACCCCTTTTCAGCAGCAGGAACAGAGTGGCGGAAAACCAGCAAGCTGATTTGGGGGGAAGGTCAACAGCACCCGCTAACTTTCAGCCCTGGCTGAGATGGAGGGAAAGAGCAAAGGTGGTTTGTGTGGACCCCCTTAGCATGATCCCTGTGTGAGAGAGTAGGAGAAAGCAAGAAGTACTTAGGGGAGAGCAATCACTATTTTAGTATTGGCGAGATTGTAGAAACTGAGCAAAGGCAAACTGGATTGAGGTTTGTGGGGGTGGGCAAGTGTTGGAGAGCCTTACAACATGGTCATGACAGGGTAGTATGTAGAAATATCCATCAACGAAATGCATGATAGTCTTTCCAGAAAAAAGCCGCCTTATATTCGCAGTGTTTTGTGTATTTGCACAGAGAACTTGCTCATTTATCTAGGTTCTTAAAACACTCAGTTATCTGCCCAAGAGATGCTTTTTGACATAAACAACTATCTACCTGGTGTCAGAATTTCTCAACAGATAAGACATGCTTGTACTCAGGAAGGAACTTCTGCAGTAAGATAGCACACCAAACTTTTATTGTTAATATGGGAAGAAAGGCGTGTGTCAGAATAACAGGAAAACCCACTCCGGTGTATCTGAACCTGATGTGGGGGAGGGGTGGTCGTTTTTATCCGGCACACTGAAAGCAGCCTTTCTTGCAACATGGACTGTCCTTAGAATTCATTGCTTTGTGAATTTTTTTTTAGTACCAGCAGAGATGAAATGAAATCCAGGATTTTTTCAGACCCAGTTAGAAATGAACAATAAGACATTTATCATTAATAATCAGACTGAGCTTATTGTATTTCATGGGATTTAGCATGTGTCCGTGTTTGTCCAATTAAATGTTTCCATCCATAACATGTGTTTCTTCCCTAGGTAGAGGGATGGGCAGGTGTGGATCTTTTTCTATGAGCAAATTTTCCTTCTATCATGTTTAAATACATAAAATATCATAGCTATTTCTAATAGCTGTGTATTTGCTAAAAAAAGTTGTTTAAGTATAAAGATTTACAGGTCACATTTTGACTTCTGATATATGTGGAATCTTAAGAAATTATACTGAATACACTTGTAAATTATATCGATTCGGAAGTCTGTGAGAAAGACAATTTACAGAAACGCCAAGCGGATTGAGACTAGAGCAGAGTTGTTCAAATATGCTGGTTCTGGCCTCCTTTGGATTTTTATTTGTTTCCTTATTACTGTCAGGTAGACTTCCCCTGAGAAATTTAGGTGGAGAATTTATTTATTTATTTATTTATTTAAATTTTTTTTTCAACGTTTATTTATTTTTGGGACAGAGAAAGACAGAGCATGAACGGGGGAGGGGCAGAGAGAGAGAGGGAGACACAGAATCGGAAACAGGCTCCAGGCTCTGAGCCATCAGCCCAGAGCCCGATGCGGGGCTCGAACTCCCGGACCGCGAGATCGTGACCTGGCTGAAGTCGGACGCTTAACCGACTGCACCACCCAGGCGCCCCAGGTGGAGAATTTAAAGGAGATGTGTTTTCAGGAAGACTTAGTGGCAAGACCAGAAGGAAGTCTTAGTGAAATATAGCAAAGGTCATTATAACGTGGCCTTGTCTCATAATTCTAGAGGAAGTAGGTAAGAGGTAGTGTCAGAAAGGGAAAGATACAGAGGTGTTTCTAATGCGGGCACAGGAATATGTGGCAATGATAGACTATTACTAAAGTTTTCCTCTAGAATGAGTCATTGCCAAATATAATTTGAAGCTTTATGCAGCTTCAAGAAAATATCAAGTTCTATGATTTTTATGAACTTGCACTTTAGAAAGGTTGGCAAATTGATAGACAATGAATAAATGCGTTCAGAATTCACAGTTGAAGCTCATATGGTGGCTTGAATTTAGCTAGGTACGATACCAAAGTTAGTGGCACATGGATGTCTTTCTGATGGTCTGATTTGTTAAAAACAATGCTGACAGATCAATATAAATATAAATAAAATGCCCAAATAATTTGACAGATAACTAGGTATTCTAAGCTTAATTGGGAAGCACGGTTTACATTATAGTTCAAGACTAGACAGTAGTTTTTCAAATCAAGTATCTAACCACCCTAAAGAAATGAATTTCATTGTGAAGCTAAAATGATTATGTACTATAGCCCCTAACTTATTAGAGACAGATGTATCCTTGGTCTAACAAGCTCCATATTGTTAAATGGCAATGCTAGCATCTCCCTTCTTCAGTGTTATCCAAAATGTAATCTTAATACTATTTTATTGAATCTACGGTGATATCTTGTTATTTCCTTTTTGTTCTTGTTTTTGTTTGGGTGTAGTCAGGGTGTGTGGTGCAGTGGGTGTTCAGAGTGTTGGGGGTCAGTTTGTATGTATTTCCAGTGAATAACACTGAAATAGTTGGTGGACTTATAACCGGAGTTCTGTGTCCTCAACATTTCATATCCAGGAAAATTTGCTACATTAAACAAAAATCAGAACAAAGAGACTGATATCTGTTCCCACATGAACTATTTTCCTATCAATATAAAGTACAATAAAATGTGATAAGAAGCAAAATTTGGCATAGTTTTATAGGAGTTTGATACTGTAGGTCCACATACATCAGATATTCAACTAATTTAGTATAAATAGTCTAGCACTGTCAAATGAGAGGCAGATAGGATAACTTCCTTAGAGAGCACATAGTTAAAATAATACTTGGAAATGACCAATGGTCAAATATGGGCATAACTTTTCATTTTAGAGATACCTTGTTGTATAGACCAATTTAGTAATAGTGTGTATTTACTCCTAAGAATTTGCTGACCAAAGTACTCTGCCTTCCCCCTAGTGTTCCGATAATAAGATTTCATATTCTGTGAGCATTGCCTATTTCTCCATCCTATGAGCCCATGAACAGTCATCAGCCCTTACATCTCTACTTTCCCAAGATACTGCTAAAAAGGAGAAGTCCAGTTCCTTCCACAGGCACTGCCACTACCACATGGCAAACTTGGCCTCTTCCATGGAGGACTGTACCATGTTCAGTGGTTATTTAGTCAAACTGAATCACCACCCATCTGCAGCCCAGTTCGACTTTCCCATGATTCTTAGGAAGGCCCTGGCCTCCATTTTGAAAACAGAAAACAAAACCACAGATCGATGAGGGTCAAAGAAGAAGTTAAGAAAGCTGTAGCAATTGTTAAGGCGTGGAGACTTTTTATTTAATTTTTGTTCATTTCCCTTGTATTGACTCTCAGGTAGATGCACTAATGACCTATAATTCTGTTAGGTGCTTTATGAAACAGAGGGAAATGGTATACACATGTGTAGAATCAGAACCACAATATTGGTAATTAGCTCAATGGAACAAAAAATGGATGTTAGGCTATTTGCTAGAAGTTTGAGTGCAGATTTGACAAGGCAAGGAAAACAGATTGCACTCCAGAGAGAACCGGCTTAACACTTGAATTCAGAGAACTGCAGATTCCTTCCTTGTTGAGTCCTGCAAATAGAGAAGAGGGTAAGAAAGAGAAGTAATTCAAAAGGCGGGGAGGTTAGGAGAGTAAACTGAATTTTTCCATGGAAATAAGATGGTTTTTTTTTATTGTTTTTTTTTTTTGGCCCCTTTTAAGCCATTGCTTTCAGTTTGCTTCAATGCAGTCACTGAAATAGCTTAGAAAGAAATCTTTGATATGCCAGATCAACCAACAGTTTTAAAATATCCTTTTGTGCCTCCATTT